GGGGGGGAAAGAAGGAAAAAAGAAAGAAAGAGAGCGGTCAAAATAAGCACAGGACAAGTAAAGTACAACCGACAACCGCCCCAGCAAACAGAGGTAACAAAGAAGAAAAAACATTGTGGTGTATATTGCCTTCCTTCCCGCCCTTCCTGTGCAGTTGCGGGATGAAAAGCCCAGGGGACCAGAGCGTGTTATTCCGGGTGCGTAAAAACAAAACAAAAAAAAACAATAAGATAATTTTTTTTAATTATTTTTCCTTTTTTTAAAAAAAAAAAGGAGGGAGGGGGGGTGTCTGCACTATCATTAACATCTTCTGCTTCTTTCCTCTCCCAGAGAAGGTTGCGCGTCCAGCCATATTGATCCCCACCCCTTTCTCCACCTCCCTCCCTCTCTGCCTCGTCACGGCGGCCGCAGTCGTCCCGACAAAAAAAAAAAAAAAAAACNGGAAAGGCCACAGGGAATGGGCCGCAGGTGAGCAATCACGGACCAGAGGCCAAAAATAAAATACAATTTTATCTAAAAACAAAAAAAGGACTAAAAGAAGTCCAACAAAACAAGACCAGAAAGGGTTCCAAACCCGGTCCTTCACAGATCTCCCCTCTCAGCCGCCTCCCCACACTCACACGCATACATACATGGAGGCATGGAAGCAGAAGATCCTACAACAAACCACTGGTTCAACAAGCCTGTAATTTCGAAAAACGAGCTCCAAGAGAAGAAGAAAAGAAAAAAAAGGAGAAAAAAGTACATCCGCGGGCACAAAAGTGCTGAAAGCGTTTATTATCAATTATGACTACTCCCTGATAAGACACCTTTTTTTCTACGCCACGAGTGGGGAATAAACCTTTTCCACAATTTTTCCGGTTTAGTTGGATGGATCTGATAGGTCTCCAAGTGGCGAGCGCAATCCAGCTGGTTTTCATTGCTTACTTTACCGTCGATGTCCATGCCGTTGTCGTTGCTGTTTTTGTCGTTGTTGTTGTTGTTGTTGTTGTTGTTGTTGTTGTTGTTGCCGTTCTTCTTTTTGTCGTTACTGTTGTCACTCGCGCTGTTGGTGGTATCGCTGCTTTGGGCTGTTAGGGTCGAAACGGGGTGAACATTTACAGTGACAGCATGCCTGGGTGTCGTTATGGGCACGTTGGTTAATAATTGACATGGGTTGCCCGACGGCTTTATTAAGGGCGACAAGGCAAATTTAGGGATGCCGACATCGTTGCGCCCAAGTGGAGGGATGCCCGCTATTTCACCTACAGAGCGCTTTTCGAGACCTGGTCGAAGCCATGCAGATTCACCAATGCGTCGCAGCGTCCAGCGGAATTCAGGGTCCTTGCAAAGAAGGCCTCGAATCAACTCCTTAAACTCTGGTGACGAAGAAACCGTGCATGGGGACAATTCTTCAGAGGAATCATGTTCTCTCCTCTGTTCCGTTGCATCCTTGACGTCTTGAGATGTCTCTCTAGTAAGCGTATGGAGCCCATCCATGCATGATAATTCAGAGGCACCAACCTCATTGGAGCCCTTTTTTTGCCTCTCGTCAGGAAAAACAAGCGGACTACTAACAATATGATGCGTCATCTCCTGGTATGTGTGCGCACGAAACGGAAGGAAGCCATACATCAGCTGATACAGCGTGACACCTAGTGCCCATACGTCCACGAGTTCTCCAACTACCTCCGGTTTCCCAAGGCACACCTCGGGAGCCATAAACGCCGGCGTTCCCTCCACACCCCGGACACCATTGGGGGTGCAGATTGCACTCACGCCAAAGTCAGCAAGATATATGTGTTCATTTTCGTCTATCAAAATATTTTCTGGTTTGATGTCCCGATGGAATATACCTCTCGAATGTAGGTGTTTCAAGGCCGAGACTATCTGTGGTGTGTACAGCCGCAGTTGTGCTTCTGGAATGGGCACAACAGTGGTGGGAGTCAAGGCCCGCGCGACGCTACCACGTGAGATGTACTGCAGGATCAAAAAAATGGTCTTGTGGTTCTTGTCAGCAATCACTTCGTAGAGTCGAACGAGATGGGGGTGAGCCACCGCTTTCAGTACTGCAATCTCAGAGCGAATGGCATTCACGCGTCGTCGCTCAAGTTTGTTCCCCAGATTCACCATTTTCATCGCAAACTGCTCCTTTGTTTCGTGGTGCTGCACCAACACAACCTCGCCCGTCGAACCACGGCCAATTTCTCCCAACACCACGTAGTCGTTTATCTTTTTCTTGTGATTCGCGCGGCCTATTACCGTTTTCGCAGTCTCCTTAACGCATGGTTGCACCTCCCTACTTTGGATTGTGGAAATGGAATAGGAAGCACCACGTGATATATACCTGGTGCTTCGCCGGGTTCCCTGTGAGCATGCACTGACTTGCGACGCATCGTCTCTCGGTGGGCATCGCTGCGGTACCATCAGGCTCGGAAAGAACCTGGGGCAGGGCCTCTTAGAGACTGAGACGTTGTATGGTGAGGTTTTGTTGCAATGTGGAGAACTGATGTCTCCGTCGGGTGACATGGTCAAGAAGTCCTGTAACCATGAGCCTCCGCCCCCTTGAGCACTGCAGGAGGAGGTTGTCAAAAGTGTGGACGTTGTTGATGTAACGCTGGGAAAGGAATCAAAATGACTATCCGCTAGAGAGGTTGTGAGATGTGCAGCACTGTCACCGTTGGTGACTTCCATCAAGTCATCATCATCCAAGCGGTGGGGGGAGCCAGTCGGCGACACCATAATACGCATCCCGGGCTCACACGCGCCTGTTAAAATGTTTGATTCCATGCCCATGTTTGAGACTAAGTCATCGTCATCCAGTTTCTCAAGGAGCAGGGTGGCCATTTTTCTAAGTAGATCTTCATACATGTTACACCTTTGACATAGTGCACAACTATTTTCATCTCCTGTCGGTGTATCGGGTTCTGGTGGTTTCTGCTGCTGCGGAATCTCGGCAAGTTCTTTTAAAGAATTGTAGCCAAACGGAAGTAACATTTCCTCCAGCGACGCCTTCAGCCGCTCTTCAAATGGCAATCGCGCCACAAAGCTCTCCACAAAGGTGTGGGTACGATCCACGCCTCCATTGTCGACGACCAAAGGATTCTCTTTTCGTGAGTCCCGCGACATGCTACAATGGTACCAAGGAGGCAGCTCTCAACCCACACAAAACGCAACGTGACGAGCTATAAATGCAGCAGATCGCGTTGAAATCCGCAACAGACGCGCATAAAGAAGCAGAAAGAAGAAAAAAAAAGCGTGAAAAATGGGTGCATCACACAGTGCAGTACAACTGGCAGTCGAGAATCATTTGAATGGATTCGAGGAAGTGGTGGAGTGCAAGTTTCATACACACAGCAACAACAAAAAAAAAAAATTTTACAGCAAAGGAGCCTGTAGCTCTTGCGCTAGAAAATCCTGCAGACCAATACAGCTGCCATCACCCGGCTCCTTCGCCCATGGAGAGGCCGATAACGATGCTGAAGGATGGCCGAGGGTGTCGCGGTAAACAAACAGGGGACGCCGGTGAGTAGAGGAACTGTCCTCATTCTCCACTGCATGACGCAATCTCTTAACGCACTGATGTAGCCGTCCTTCAAAATCGCAGGTATCGTTCCGTAACCTCCGTGAACTGGCAGTCAACTGTTTTTCCTCTGCTTCGTATGGAGGCAACGTTTTGACACCATCCGTCTTTTCTGACCGCGAGGACTGCTGCTGCGCCACAAGTACGTTCATCTCCCGCACCGCTTGCTGCAGATGCGCGATGACGGCATCCCTCGAGAGAATCTCATCTTCATATTGCCGCATGTTAACAACGTTGCGTCGTGTTTTTGGTAAAGCTGCCTCATGTTGAAGGAGATGCCGTTGGACGCGCTCGTGCTCGAGCTCTCGCTCGCTCTCCTCCAGCCGCTTCATGCAGCGTGCCAAATCCTTCTGCAATGCTGACACCTGCTGTTGGGCCCGTTGTGACTCCTCTGAGACACGCTCCAGTCGTACTTCCATAGCAGCATGCTGTTGGTCGTTGGAGTCATTCTGCTCCTGCAGCCGCTGCACCTGCGTCCGCAGGGCCGCTTTCTCCTGTACCCTTTTCCCTTCCACCACCGCGGAGTGTAAGCGCTTTCGTTGTTGATCGCGCAGCATCCCGTGAATCAACAGCTGTTGTGCTTCACACTGACACTTTCCCAGCGCCAGCCACGTCTCGAAGAGGGGCTGGGTAAACAGACTGTGGTAGCTGGACCACACCAAAACTGTTTTCTGCAGAAGCAGCTGATCGGCACGCAACTGAAACAGCTGCTCTTCCCGGTCCTGCAGCAGCTCTGTCAGACTTCGATTGTCTGCCTCTCTCTGAGCACACTGGGAGCGAAGCCTAGAAGCGGCCCCCTGAAGCTCCATGAGATGTGCGGCGGTAACAACTCCCCCTTGCATGGGTAGAGATCTACTGCTCGTCCTGCAATAAGGTTCTCGCTGCTGCACTTACTGCCTTAGAAGCAGCACGGATGTGTCACCCCAACGCGCACGGCACAGTACCCACCACCACCACCGCCACCGCTGCCGCCTCACCCTATATCTCTCTCTTTAAATGTGCCCCCCTCCCCCCCCCCACGACGGCCACGCACCGCCTGAGAAAAGTGTGGGGAGAGTAGTAGTACAACCACGCCACCTCCCCGGCGAAAGAGAGGAGCAGGGAGTGTGAGGAGAGCCTAAATAAAGCAACGCCCATGCGTGCACGCATGCACAAAAAGTGGAAGAGTGCAAGAGCAAAAAGTCGATAGTGGCCACCTCGTACGCATTACCTAACACAATGTCAAAGTAAGGGGGTCCCCAGCACGCCACAAAAAGATTTCATGCCTTCGGTAGCCGTCACACAGATGCGACGTATTACACGCAAAAAAAAAAGGCCTGGAGACTAATCCACAATGTTTCCTGAGAGTAGATTCATCAGGAGCGTGCTCCACTGATCGTAAGCTGCTCCAGGCGAGCAATAATGCAGGCAGTCCGTTGCATTCATCGCCTCATACTTTGGGTGGTACTTACCCATGTGTCCCAGCGGCATGAGATCTGTCATAGGCGCTACATCCAAAATATGTGCTCCCATGTCTTCCCAAAGTGCCTTCGTGTAAGCGTTCCTGTCAGGAATGGCAAACCAGCGATACTTTTTGTACTTTTCTACCTTGTATGCATCCAAGGTCAGCGGGGTCGTAAGTGGTTCGGAGTACTTCCAGCAAAAGGGATGCCCACGAAAGCTTGTACGCCAAATAACAGTTCCCTTGTAGAGGTACCGAATAACGCTGGCGGCGCGCCGCATCAAGCGGTAGTACTGTTCATCTGAAACCTTCCGCCGTTCGTTTGACGGCTGCACCATCCAAGATCCCGAGTTTAGTATAAGAATGGGGTAGCGATGAATGTCCTTCCACCACAAAAAATTCCGAAAGGCGTAATGCCTCATTTCCAGGAATTGATTGGTAAGGAAAAAAATCTTGACAGGATCCTTAACACGTTCTGGGTAGTACCGTTGGCAGATGGCGTGTCCCCTGCATCGGTGACGAGAGCGTGAAGTGCCCTCGCTCTCGTAGATGTCGCCCACGCCACCAAGAAGATAATACAGTGAGGCGTGCCAGTGATCGGTGAGGCTGTCCCCAACCATCATGATGCTGCGCCCACGGAGAGAGCGGCAGAAGAGTTCCTCGTCCCACGGAACAAGCTCACACGCATCCGGCACCCACACGTACTGTGTCTCTTTTCGAACCCCATTAGCCCCAAACGTTTTACGAAATCCCCGCTCGCAGCATCCCAAGACTTTCCCACGCGAAAGATATCGGGGTCCAAGACTGTTGTTGTACACCCACCGCCCTTTTGTGTACAGATGCCGTCGGCAGGGACTCAAAGTGCGACGCATAGGATGATACGGATTATGATAGCGCCGAGGACCATCAGCGTAGTCAAAGTGTGGTTGTTCCTGCCCCTTGTGTGGTCCACGTGGAGAGATAAAGTCTACGATGTTTCCCGATAGGACACCTTCAACCTCCTCTGGCTGCAGCGGTTGATACAGTGTGGTGTTGCGTGCCTGAGACGCAGCGGTCAACAAGGGCGGTGGGCTGAGCATCGGTCTCACCTCCTCCCCCACCTCACCCACGTATCCCCGGAGCAGCAACACAAAGAGTGCCGTTGCAGCCGCAGCCAGCAGCAAAAGCGTGGGGTGCAGTCTCCGTAGGTAGGACCCTCGCTCCCGCATCGTGGGTACCTTCCCTGTTGGCCAGAAGAAAACGCCAACAGCAAAGGCGCGAGGGGAATGTAGTATAGTGACAACAGCAAAGGCAGCGATGAAAGAAGTGGACGGCAACGTAGGTAAGAGTGATAAAGCCTGTAGACCTTCGCAATTTTCCATCTTCGAATCACCGGTCAAAGCAGCCACAACGTCTCTCCAGTAACGAGGTACAGACACCCACAGAAATAGAGAGAAACAAATAAAAAAAAAGGAAAGACGCAAGCAAAAATGAAGATAAAATTAACATAGAAAAAAAAACGACCTTGAGCCTGTGAATTTCAACGTCGGCGTCCCATAGAAGACAGCGCCGGCACAGACGACATGCGGTGGTGCTCCTCACACACATGGAAGCATCCGACCTCTCGTCATCCCCCTTGTTTTTCTTCGACTTCGTTCAGTTCAACTGCTCTTTTTTTTCTTTTTTCTTTTGTCATTATCGGCACGTCATGCCTCTTCAATTCCTTCTTGTCACCCTCACCTTAGTTTTGCTTGTCCGTACTCTCACATATGTGCGGGAAAGAGGAATTCAGCGTTGCAAAAACAACCCGGCAGCGAACGGCCCCTGCAAGGTGGTTAACAACACCACTAACCCACGGCAATGATAAGCGGCAGAGTAATGCCTCACATTACCGAGCAGCACCCCGAGTTTGTCTGCTTTGCTTGCTTGTAAAATGTCTTGCTTGCCATGCCAAGATCCTCGCTCTTGGAGACAAGCTCATCGATCTTCTGGCCGCGCTCAATAATTTGGTCAATGGCATTATACATAACCACCTTGGTGTCCTCGATATCCCGCTTGATCTTAAGAATTTTGTCCTGCTCCTCCGGCTTTTGGTACTTCAGAAGCGTCTCCTCGAGGTACGGCCAGTTCAGGAAGTTGTCGTCCTTGCCATCGACGGTGTCGTACTTGCCGCGAAAGGTCGTCTGAAACTGCTGGGCAAGTTCCGCAAGTAGAGTGAAGGCGACCCGGGAGTTGTACTCGATGTCACTAATGGCGATTGCGACGAGTCCGTCCAGCGTTGCGTAGGCAAAGACAACGTTGCCGTTTTCGGTGATTTGAGTCTTGGCACCCTTCGTTACCCGATTCGCCACCGTGCGGGTGAGAAATACTATAAACTCCCGGGCAGCGTTGCGCTGGAAGAAGCCAAACGAGCTGACATCTACGGCCAGGGAGCAGATGACAGGCTCCTTCTCCACCCCCGCTGGAAACGGCCTTACAATCGACAGGGAATACAGCTTCATTGAACAACACCCCGCGTTTCCTGCTGGTCTCCCAAGTACGGGCTTATCTTCCTCTGCTTATCTTTCTCTCTCTCTCTCTCTGTGAAACTTTGCGGTGTTGCTCCACTTGCTTCGCTGCTCCTCACTTCCTACCACCGCACCCACCAGAGTGTGAAAGGAGAACTATCCGGCAATGGCTCCAGTAGCACGCCCACAGAGACACAGACAGCAGCCAAGCGAGGCAAACACACACACACAAAAAAACAAAACAAAAATGCTCCTGTAAGGGTAAAAAAGATGGAACTTCTCATTTTTTTTTTTCTCTCTCTCTTCACGCCTTTTCTGCGGCGGCTGACGTTCCACAATGTACGTTAGGGACGGCAGTGGCCGCGGGGCCGGCAGTGTCCCTCGCAACTAACCAAAAAAAAAAAAAAAATGGTTATCTCTCCTTGTCCCTCTCTCCTCCGTTCGCTTGTTTTTTCCCTGTTTCTTTTTTTTTTATTGGTTGATTTCTTTGCCTCTACCCTTCCTCCCCGTCACCCCCGTGGCAACACTGGGGCTTCGTTGCAAGCGAAGGAGAATAATACAAAAAAAAAAAAATGGGACACGTGAACACCCATGCTGCCACAGCATAAAAGTAGAGAGATGACAGCCGAAGTACGTGCTACAACGCAACAAAACGGAAAAGGCAACCACCAACGGACAGACGCAGACGCAGACGCACACCTACGAACAAAGGAGGAAGAGGAATAAAATAATAATAAATGGAACTCAAGGGCGTGAGTTATGCAGGTACAGATAGGCATGCATTTACATGCGTGTCCCTCACGACAAGTCCCCATCTCCGGCAATCGTCTGCACCACGGGGTTGAAGTGTGGTGAAATACCCACGCGATCACTATAGTGAAGCAACGCAGGACTATCGTGGGTAGCACGAAGAACCGCATCACTGACTGCGTCTCTCCTAGTTGGCACGGCTAAACGATTTGGTGTGCGTGACAAATGGCGAAAGCGGGCCTCCTCCATGTCCAGTAACTCCAAACGTTTGCGGATGACATCTAGTTCAGAAGGAGGTTCCGGTGAGCCTCGTCGCCTAAAACCATAAAGGCACCTCTCAGTTCCATCTTGTGAAGTTGCAGGAGTCCGCGCCGTCACGGCTACGTGTGCGTTGGGGCTATGGCGCATCATTCTCTCACGAATCCCCCGTTCGTAACGCAGAAGCTCAAGCTCTTTTTGTAGCTGCTCTTTGCGTATTGCCTCGCGCTGCAGGAGCCAGTTGTACTCGTAAAGCGTTTCTGCACGCTCCATTTCGCGTCGTCGCACCTCATACTGCAACTCGGACGATTCACCGCTTAAGAAAAGAAATGATGGTGACTCTGGCTGAAGTGGAATTTTCTCCCACGGTGGAATCGGCAAAGCTTCACCCTGCCTTGCTCTGTCACCGTCAGCCCTCTTGCCGTTATTCCCTCCACATCCTGAAGGATTTCCCTCGCGCGGCTGAGATGGGAGTACAAGGTTGCGGGTGGAATAACCCTGTTGGGGCAAAGTTCCCACGGCGCGCTGCAACGGATCACACAGCAAGCCGTACTCACCATGACAAAAAGGAGACACCTGTCGATGCTCCCTGTCAGAGCCCCCGGCGTCACAACCGCAGTGGCGGCAGCTGAATAGTTGCGGATCGCACGGCGGCGGTTGCAGCAGCTCCCGTGGTGAACGATCGCACAGAAAACCCCCGGCCGGCGCAGGTGATACACTTTTTGCACGTGGTACGATTGCAACTCGAGCTGCGTCTGCCACCTCGTTCGGCTGAAATGTAGAAGAGGTTTGCGTCGATATTTCCCTGGTCTGTGGCTGCGTGACAATATTTTGAATTGAGTGCGGCATAACGCTATCCACCCACTGATTCGGCAGCATCGAGAATGCACGCGGCATGGACGCGCCCATGGCAGGAAATGCGTCTTCACGATTCGAACTGCAATTATCGTCCTCAGTAGGAACCTCATCCGCACGTTGAAACGACGCTGGTGGTGAGTTCCCCGAAGCCGATGCGGAAGTCCTGAAGCGGGCAACAAAGTTATACAGCATCCATATCTCGGGCTGCTCTGGCTTTTTGTCAAGGATGCGGTCAACCAGGTTGCGCATCACCACGTAGCTGGGGGAGTTACGTGGAACACCACGAAGCAGCAACAACTTTGTGGAGTCTTCCGTTACTCCACTGTTTGATATTCGTGAAACCGACATTCCAAGTGCGTCCCGCTCCATCTTTGCCTCCAGTTTGGACCACATGAACACCACCGGATTGTCAGGTTTACTCTCAAGAAGACGCTTCGCCCAGGAACGCATTGCCGTTCTGGCAGGACCCGCCGGGGACACGGAAACAAGACGCTCCTCTGCGGTATCACCAACAGGGGCAAACGTGGGTGTGGCGCTAAGCGCACGACGATAATTTTCCTTTTTTTGGAGCTGTAAACCCGTTTCAGGACCACCTGATTTACCTTGCAGATGGGACCAAAGAAATACCTGTGGGTTGCTTGGACGTTTACTTAACACCAAGTTTGCAAGCCGCAAAAGAACAGTGTAGTGCACTGAGCCTTCCTTCGCGAGGGCGGCAAGTTGGAGGGCCATTACGTCTGGTGCAGGACATTCGACGTCAATAGAGCTGTCTTCAGGTTCTACGACTCCAGCAACGTCAGGAACAGGATTAATTTGGACCCTGTGCTCCACTCCCGTTGAATGGGTACTGTCAACCCGACAGTGTCCATTGTTTGGCGCCTTATAGAGCGACTGGTTCACTGATTCCCCGGCAGCAACATCATGGATGCGTACCACCGGCCTCTTGGCTGCCTCTTCCTCTTCAGCATGCAGCTTGACAAGAGTCTCTTCTTTTTCTTCCAAAGGTGGGGGCGGGGATGGTGGAACATCCTCCTCCTCCTCCTCTTGTTGCCTAATCTGCTTAAGCTCCGATGCCAGTGGGAGCTCCCTACCATCTGGGCGTTTTGGTGTGGCGTCAATAGGAGACACGTAGATGAAAGACAAGGGTCGCACACCCTGTTCCTCCAGTGGAACGTCCATGTCCAGCAGGCCCACCGGTTGCCTTTTCTCATCGCACATAAAGGCTACATAGTTCTTCATGGACGGTATGCCCAACTTCCGCGAAATGTGCGGAAGAACTGTGCGCAGAGCCTTCCCCTCCTCCACCTTCTGCACGACATATTCAGAGGCCTTCAACTTTTTGGCTACAATGTTAAAAAGTGGCATCCGCGCAGCTGTGGAGCGAAGCCTACACCTAATACCCCTGCACCCACCTCTGTTGTTGTTGCCCCTATCTAATGTATCTTTTCCCCTGGTGTTCTCACAGCACTGACTAAAATCAAAGATGGGGAGGACCTCTCACACCGCACCTCTCTCTTCCTCTCCGCTTCTTTTACTCCCTCTCACCCACCAGTATGTGTCAACCACGCTGCACCTGTGTGCATACACACAGACACACACGACATTGGCCCACACAATCACGTAGGCATTTTAGCTAATATCTAAATAAAAGCACGGAAAATAGTAACAAGTTGCACACCACCCATCGAGCACCACAACAAAATAAAAAACATTACTATAGCAAAAAGAAAGTGTTACACCTACGGTAGCTTGTCCTGCAGTGCCTCTCTCCCGGCTTTTGAGTAAAAAGTCAAATCCACCAAAAGCCTGTGAGCAAGAGAGATATCCACGTTGCTGCCTTCAGCCTCTGCATCTGTCTTCTCACAGTCCGAGGGCACGATAAACACAGAGGGGTCCGGTGCAATGGGGACAAAGTTGTAAAAGTCAACCGTGACGACAGTATCCTCCATCAAGCGTTGCAGGTGAGTGTAGTAGGGCTCGTCTGGCATGACCAGTTCGTCAAAGAATGGGCCGCCAAAGTAGCGCCAATTCGGCACAGTGATGGGGGCGTCTGTAAGCTCCTTAAGCGCCTGCTGCTGCCGCCGCGTTTGCACTCGCCAGGGAATACTGAATACAAATTCCTCTACGCTCCCCTTCCTCTCCCCAGGCAGCTTAAAGCTCATGTTACGCACATAGTAGTCCACTTGTTGCAGTGGACCCGTGCTGTCGCGATCGTACCCCGTGTAGCGCAGCACTTCAACACCACGCACAAGACTTGGCTCCGTATGCTTCAGAAACTCGTCGGGGACACCGAAGCTCGCCACATCACCTGTCATCTTGAAGGTGCGACAAAAACTGCCTTTTCCCTCGCGACTCGCGCCGTAGCTGCCCGGGGCGTAGTTCTCCAGTAGGTACCCACGCCGCCGCGCCCCATCGACAATGAAGGAGTATTGGCTTCCAAGGAAAAAGTTATCAATGCGCAACTGTCTTGTCCGGTTGGATACATATATGGCCCCGCTCTGCGCCACAGGAGCAGAGAAGAGAAAGGGAATTGTCGTCCCGGTGGTGACAAAAAAACTCGGGGGAAATGGCACGCGTACGCCCCCCACCACGGACGCACAAGTGAGGAGAGTAACAAGAAGAAGTGTGGAGTGAAGCTTTTTTGACCTCATTTTGCTATGGACCTTTCGAACACGCCGCAAAAAAAAAAAAAAAAAAAAATGGACAGGAGGCAGAGGTACGCACTCATGACGAGAGATGCAGAGAGAACAAAAGGTGGTCGGAGCCATGTTTCACAAGGGCCAACCGACCTGTATTTTTCCTCCTCCTTCTCAGCTCCCAGAATTTAAAAAAAAAAAAATGAATAAATTTCCGCTTCCTTGTACACTGTGATCACCACTACCGGTGTCTTGTATGTGTGTGTGTGTCGCGCCTCGTTGCTCTTAGTTATCAGCATCCCCCAATTAAAAAGGTATGACCATATTAAGTTAGCCCGTCTCACCCCAACAACCTCCCCCCACCCCCCACACACACACAGACACACACCTCAACCCCTCCTGCCTTCTTTTTTGTTTTCGCTTTCTTGTCATCATCATTTTCTTTTCTGCGTGTGGGGTTTGCCTTTTTATGCTCCGTGCATTCCTCGCTGTTTTTGCCTGTTCCCCACCCACCCCCTCAGTTCACGCTTCTGCTCGGCAGGGCACAGTTTTGCCTTTTCCATCCCACCGTCCTCTTCCCTGTTCTCCACCCCACTCACCACCAAGTATATTCCTTTGGTGCACACGCGCACAGAGAGAATGAGAGAAAAAAAGACACAATGGGAACGCGATTAAGTGAATGTAGGAGCACATTACTTGCAATACATTGAAAGCCCGGCCCACCAATTGTCGGCTGCTCTCCCTCGTGTATGTTCCGTTTTCCCTTTGCAAAGGACGGAATCACACAAAGCTCTACAATAAAAATTAAAACCAATTCGTCGGTAGCATACACTCACCTTGTTGTTGTTTTGGTACGCATTCACACGGAGTTTTCTTCACGTCATTGGATCAAAAGAGACAGTGAGAGAACTCCAATGAAAACCATGGCAGGACGGCGCCAGCCAACCACCGCCGTATATCAAATTATCACAACAGTAGCAGCACGTACACACACACACACACACACAGACACATATGTCTGCATGCCCCTCTCTCGGTACACCAATAGCGTTGGGGTTGTCCTGTGTCAGCGGCTTCTCTCCCCATCTTCTTCTCTCGAGATAAAGAATGAACTTAGTTGCCCGATTAAGCTTCATTGATACAGCGGGCAGCAAGGTTCACACACTCAAACGGGCAAAAGGAAAAGCACATGGCAAGAGAAAATGAGGAAAAATGGCTGTGCATAGAGAAACTCCCCCACCCACGCACGCCCCTCTCCAAAGGAAAAAATGAACAAGCACACTGTGTCCCAAAGGAAGCTAAACCTCAGGCAGAAAAAAATGTTACCCGTTTTTCCTGCACCCTTTTATACTTTTTGCCAAAAGTATCACAATAGAAAAAAACAAAAACAAAAACGGAAAAAGAAAAAAAAAAGAAAAAGAAAACAAAAAAACAACAAAACACATCGCAGCAGGTTCAGGAAGCGAAATAAACAAAATTTAAAAAAAAGGAGGTGTCGAAGCGCACAGTGTGTATTGTACCTATAATTTATAAAGGCGTGCAATGCTGTGCAACGATGATAGCAGCAAAGGTGCATGATCGAAAACAACAGTTTAGCAAGGTTTGCCCCTCCCTCTAGTTGGCCCCATGGTGGCGGGTCCCCCACCCTTGGCAATCAACAAGCTCTCCCCAAGCTGGCGAAGAAGGGCAGTGCCATCCTGCCTATCACCGGTAAACCGCATGGTTGTGGATTCCGGCCCCACAGAGCCACCAGCACGGGTATCGCGCAGTACCCCACGAAGGGACCCTGATAGTTGCGCCACATTTGAGATCCCACGAGTGGTTTCATTTTTTCCAAAAGAACTCCCGTTTCTGTCACGCCGGCGTTCTTCATCCCTCGCCTCTTTTTGAGGCCTATTTTGTTGCTGTTGCTGCTTTTGTTGCTGCTGTTGCTGCTTTTGTTGCTGCTGCTGCTTTTGCTGCTGCTGCTGCTTCCGCTTTTGTGGCTGTTGTGGTTGTGGATGTTGGGGTTGTGGCTGTTGTGACCGAGGATTGGTGTTTTTGCTCCACTCCTGTTTTGAATGGGCATTGCTACTCCCAACCTCATCGCGCTGCTGCTGCTCTCTCTGATGATCTGGGTTAGTGGAAAAGAGTGAGAAGATATTTGACACGTTGAAGGGAGCCGAACTTCCGAGCGTTTTCATTGAGGCGTTGCGCGACGGGGTTTCGGCTTGCGCAAGCGGAAAGACGTCGGTCCACCGGTGCGTTTGACCGCGGCGGCAGTCGCCCTTCCGATAGCATGGCTGTTTAGTGTCATCTGCACTGTGGCTAAAGCGGCAGCCCTCACGCGCACATCTGCCGTTAATGTGATCGCCGCACAAATGCGTATCCCAGAGAAATGTTGCCGGCAACTCCGTAGACGTCGCCTTCTTCGTGTCATCTGGTGAACGGCTGACTTCTACCGTGGTTTCGTGCCCCTCCTGCTCCTCCTGTTTTCTCTTTTCTTCTTGCATCGCAAGTGCCACCAGTCGCTCCTCGCTTGCACGAATCAGCGGCGCGAGAGATTCGGTGCGGAGTACCTCCTTCAGCACCTCCATCGCCAACGCGAGGCCGTTGTCGTCCACTTGCTTCTCCGGATCATTAAACGGCACGGGGCAGAGAGCGATATCGGGGTGTGAGCACTTGTCAGGGGAGTCGTCCACAATGATGGTGTTCACGGCATGAAAGCTCTTCGGGTAGGTGTCAAAGATGCGCTGCAGGTTCTTGAGGGTGCGGTACGGCTTCTCCGGCGTTGGCCACATCGTACACGAGTCGCGATAGAGCTTGAAGAGCAGCCTGTCCTGAAAGCCGTCAAACACCTTCTCAATGATAGGGTTGGAGGTGCGCTCTAGTCCGCTAGTCCAAACCGCGACCACGAAGTTGTTCATCACGAAATTGATAAACTCGCGGACCCCGGGACGGTCGACGAAGCTCCCACATCCGCGGGACACCAGGACGCCGTTGAGATCAAGCACCAGCAGAAAGGCGCGTCGGACGCTGCTGAGACGCACGGTGATGTCGTACCCGTGGCGGGTCGCTATGACGATCGTCCCATCGGCCTCGTCAATGCTGAGCACGACACCAATCTCGGAGCGTCCCGTCGAGAGTTGCACCCGGACGTACTGATCCGCCTCGAAGCGCTCAGTCTGGATGTTGTGCGGCGCTGTTTCCATTTGAAGCAATTCCCACCCACACGGCAATGCAGCGCAGGAGCCGAAAAAAAAAGGCAAAAACGTCACACTGACGTACCACAACAACAAATAACTTTAAAAAGCGGCAACCAACAGGCCCAGAAATCCCTCACCTCTCCCCACTATATATATATATATATATATATATATATATATA